GCTAGCATTGTAAGTTTAAAGACTTTGAAAAGAGAGCTAAAGGTCTGAAACCTTACCATCTGATATTACTACTACCACCAATAAAAATAAGTCTTAGTGCTCAGTTGGTATGTGCTAAGCATTTTATAAGTATTTAACACATTGCTACTCTGTCAGTTAGGTATAATCGTTTTTCTTACTTACAGATTAAGAAACTGAAACTCAGCTAGGTTGTATAATTTGTTCAAGGCAACACATCCAACAAGTGTCAGAGTGAGAGTCTGACTCTGGGTCATTTGGCCAGAGAGCCTATTCATAACCACTGCAGTGTACCAAAATACTGCTATCAGCTCCGGGAAGGGACAAATATTCCTGGAAATCTGAGAGTTAAGCCCAAGGCAGCAGGTGTAATTTCTTTAAAGCTCATGTTTTACCCTTAAACTTCACTATAAATTACTTTCTGTCTCATAATGCAAGTACATTTGTTTGAAAATAAAAGCATGCAAGTTATTTGCCATCAAGTCAGATGAATGCTCCAGGAAGATGCCCCATGTCTATCCTATGGCTTCATGTGTCCTGGACACCCCCCTGTTTGTGTCCAGAGAACTGTTTGCCCCAGGTTGAGAAACACAGTCAAAATCAGTATTGTGTTGCTTCTCGCCTTCTCTGACAGATTAGTGAGGTCAGAATGTTTTCCTAAGATCCTGAAACAGATCAAACATCAGTTAACTCTGGTCTCCTTCAGTTCCAGTTCAGAGGATCTTATTAGTAGAGCACACCAAGTGACCTGTCTGGTGACAGCTGACAGATTGGCGGACCTGCCAGCCAGGGTGTGACATTCCTCAGGCTGGCCCCAGCTGACTCTGACTTGGTCAACTGTTCCTTAGAGTTCACAGCCCACTTTCCAGGAATTCACACACAGTGACTGCTGCCATAATACAGTTCAATCGTACTCAGCTCTAGAAGGTTTAGTAAGTGCAAAAGTTTATCCACAAAGAAGAAAAATTGGAAGTAGGTAGTGGTACTTGTTACACACCATTGTGAATGTAATTAAAGCCACTGAATTCCACATTTAAATAAAGTTAAAGTGGCAAATCTTATGTTACATATTTTACCACAGCAATAAAATGGTAAAAAAAAAAACCCACAAAATTATCCTCAGACAAACAATATTTGGTCTGGGTCTCATGAATATTTTGGGATTGGGAAATGGAAACTGTTCCAGACGGATGGAACCATTAACCAAGGGGAGAGCAAATCTAATCCTGTAACCTCTCACTGAAATCCCTTCAATTGTTCCCCGTTACTATTGGGATAAATACCAAAAGCCTTAACAGCTTCTGAGGTCCTATGTGGTCATCTTTCTGATCTCATTTTGTGCCACTTCTCCCCTTGCTTTTCCTGTCCCAGCCACCCTGGCCTTTCTTCTTTTCCTTTCAACATGCAAAACTCCTCTCCACTTTAGGGCCACTGCAAAGGGACTTTTTCCCTTCGCTTGAAACCATTTTATACCCCACTCCATCCTTGGCTAACTCAGTCCAAGCATCACTTCCTCAGAGAGCCCCCACTATGGCTCATATTCTATGTTATATATGCTGATAAAACCACATATCTTCTTGTTGTAAATGAAAATCACAGAAAAACTCCAAATAACAGGGGCTTAACAAAACTAAACCTCATTTCTCTTTCATGTTCACAAGTCCTGGGCTGCTCCATGGTGCCTGGAACTCAGGTTTGTTCTATCATTTTGTTGCATTACACATGGCTTTCACTCTCAAAGTCACTTCATGATCTAAGACAGCAGCTGGAGCTTCAGCCATTATGTCCACATTCTCACAAACAAGAAGAAGGAGGAGGAAAAGAGGGCAAGCCTCCTCCCTTTAAAAACATTTTCTGAAAGTTGTACATACCATTTTTGCTTACATACCAGAATTTAGCCACATGACCACATCTAGTTGCAAGAAGGCTGATAAATGTGTTCGTTATTGTAGGTAAACATATATACACCTGGTAGTGGACATTTACTTATGTTACTCATAAAGAAGGGAAGAATGGACAGCACAGAATAAAACATTTCTGTCAACAGAAAGCTCTTTTGGACTGCATGGTGTCTAATGCAGATCAAAAATTGCCATGTGTGGGCCAAATTTAGTTCATAGCAGTAAAGCATGATGATTAAGAGTAGTCTCTAGAGCCTCATGCCTAAGTTCAAATTCTGCTCTGCAACTTATTAATCATATGACTGGATAACTGCCGCGGACCAGCCTCGTCAGGAGAGGGGAGGGGGCGGAAATGAGTTAAGGACGCAGGGAGTCAGGTTGGAGAGGTCTCAGCATCCCGCTGAGCCCCGAACTCCGTTTATTCAAGGCTTTTATTACAATTTTGGGGAATAAGCAGGAGGGGGCTGTACCCAAGCCAGTTTCTTTGTCCTTTCTGCAAAGTTACTCTACGGAACAACAGGGGAACACAGGGTGCTATCAAAACTTCTCTGTTTATCAAGCACCGGTGCATGACCTACCCTTCTACAGGGAAACAGGCTGTCTAGCTTTCTTGGGAGACCTATTGTCTAGCCACAGCAGGTTCCAGGCAGGGAGCCAAGCAAGGTGGAGAGGAACTGTGCCACGGGCAGCGGCCTTGCCAGCTGACCCCGGCCCCCCGGCTTTGCCAAGGGGGGCTTACGGTCACGTCTCCACGAGCAGTAGCTATGCCGGCCTGACCCCCTGGCTTTGCCAAGGGAGCTAGTGGCGCCCACAGATAACCTAATTTCTTTGCCTCAGTTTTCTCATTTGTAAAGTAGAGGAAATGACAGCAACGACTTTACAGGTTGTTATACAGACCAAATAACTGATACTTATAAGTACTTAAGAAAGTACCTGACATATAATAAGTACTCTTAAATACTTTGATTTGCCTATTAGTTACTAACAAATGAAATGGAAATCAAAATGAAAATCTAGGCTTCTGTCTTCTTTTTTTCCCTTTTGCAAAGCCTGGCAACCCAGCCTCACATCATTCCTGATATGCTATGACTGGCCAGAACAGAGTGGCAGCTGCCCAGTTAAGATGGAGCATAAGCCCCACTCAGAGCAGGCATCTTTTTCTAATTTACACAAAGACAGAGTGTACGCTAGTGGGCAGCCCTGGCAAAGGTGCCAAGCACAGGGACATCAAACAATGTCTTAAGGAGGGGGAATGTCAGGTGGTTATCCAGGGTACTGATCACTAATGTTCAATTTTAAGCTGTAGTCTAAACTGTAAAGTGTTGTGATTCTGTATTTTAAAACTTTAATGGAGTCTGCTGCACACAAAGTTTGAGGCTAGTATACAGCATTTTGGTGAAAGGAAGGAATGTGGTTGTCCGGAAAGGAACAAAAGATGATGATGAAAACAGCAAAGACTGAAAATTTTGTAGTCTCTACAACGAGCCCCTTGAAAAATCTTAGGAGCTCATTTGGGAGTGGGCACCAGAGTATGTGGAATAGAGGCTAGAATCCTTGTATTTGAATAATTAGGAAAGCATGACTCACTAAGGCTGGAAATATTGGCAGTCTCCCGAGGTAGATATCTGGGTTATAGACTCATACACCTTGAGAACAGGGAATGAAGAATTTACAACTTCATAATTCCCTTTTATTTCTTAGTATATCATAAATGTCTTTTCATGGCATTCTTTTACATCAGTGATTCTCAAGGAGGGGAGAGGTCATATCAGAATCAAACCACCAGGTGCTTCTTCATGCCACACAGTTGGGACAGTCAGGAATCAGGTGAGAGAACAAAATCACTTCTGATGTTTAAAAACAGAATGGATTCAACACAAAGATTAAGTGATGACCAAACCCCTGGAAGGGTGGGAGGAGCAGGCTCAAGGCTTGCTTTCACAAATGCCTCCCAGGACACTCCCAGGGAGCCATTCCCTTTTCTGCCTTCAAGAAGTTGAGTTCCAGGATATGCTGCTCTAGCTACAAACCAGGTACCAGAAAGCTGGGACCAGGAGACTGCTGCCACCAGCCCAACCTGGACACTGGCATTTGGAATTCTGCCACTGCTGCCCCCAGAATTTCCTATCAACATCCCTGAACCTGGAGATGGCACACTGGCAATCTCATCTCAAAAATATGGCACAACCCCCACCCCACTTCCAATTTTCAAATCTCGCAGAACCTAATTTGCACCCAGAATCCTAGCTGCATGAATGTAGCTTCATCCTTTCAGCCTCTGTAGCACAGAAGACCCCTGGAATCAATGATGATTCAACCATATCATTTACAGAGATTCTAGTGTGTCAGCTCTAGGAAATCACTCTTTGTTATATGCAAAGCTGTTTTTATCCTCCTTGCTACCCAGGTCCCCTTGTTCTAATAATAGTCCCCTGATTTTCCTTTTGAGAACCACTCTTCCTACTTGCAACCATTGCAGTGGCTGAGGCTGACCCCAGATCTCAGTCCCAAGGGAGGGCACAGGTCCCAGCCCTGGGCAACTAGTATACTCCATCTCCTATTCTTGCTCATTGTGTCATCCCTCAAAGAATATGTGAAGAGGTGGATACCATCCCCCTGGAGGCATGGGGAACAGAAGAGACAGCCATTTATCTTGGACTGTTGAGAATTTACCAACCTAGAACCTGGGGGCAGAATACTATGATTCACCATCACTTTCTGCTCTAAGACTTGGCAATTGCCTGACTCGTGTGATGCAGATAAGCAAGTCATTCATAGGTATCTTGCAGAATTTTAAACTATCTACAAAAGACAACCCTGGTTTGAAATATTCTGTCCTTTAATTAAATGAAGCACTAGACCACAGTCTCAATATAACATCTTCACACTCAGCCTAAACTTTTTACACACACACATACAATTCTACCTCTACCTCTCGCCTTCCGTTAATCTATTCTCTCTATGTTGGGAACTCTACCCTCAGTACCAACATCCACAGATGCTGGTCACTCATCTCTCCAGAAAGTGGACAAAGGAACACTAAACTAAAAAACAGAAGGAAAAAGAGGTAGAGATAGTTACCTGCTTAGGTCCTGGTGACTGAGTGTTCCTAGAGACACAAACCTGCTATCCATGTTGTTTAGTCTTGTATGGCAGAGCACCTCGACCACCTACAATAAAAGTAGCTGTGAATGAGACAAGAGGGCTGGCTCTGAACCTGGTCAGCCAAGTGACCCTGGGTGATCTCTCTGGGCCTCAGTTTCTCATTTGTAAAATAAATGGGTTGGGCCCACTTATTTTTCTGGTTTTGATGGTTTATAGTCATACATCAGGTCAGTGTTGATTTGAGGGTAAGATGACATAAGACATAACATAGTTTATTTTAGAAATGCCCCACTTGTGAAGAAGATAAACAGGATTGTATTAAAGAGCTCTGAGCTGAGCCAGGAGCCAGGAAACCTGTGCTCTGGTACTTGCTACATCATAAACTCTGCATCAGTGGGTAAGTAGTGTGGCTTCTCTGTGCTTTAAAGGAAGAGGCTTAGAGCAGATGGTATCTAATGGCCTTTCCTATTGTGAGATCCTACATGAGCCCACTGCTGGGGAAATAAATCAGAGGGGGAAGTGAATACCCTCTGTGGGTGAAGGAGCCACACCTGACAGGTTTGTCTGCCTCCTGGATTCATGGGAGTCTTCCCTGTCCTTTGTGTCTCTCTTACTTCCAACGGCCAGGGTTAAGGAGCTGGCACATCTGAGGCCCAGATGGGCTGAATGAGCAGGACCTTCAGTTCTGCTGAGTCCTCCTGTGGCTGCAGTCCAAGGGTTGAAGACCAGACTTTCCACGAAGCTTATCAGGGTACGTCACCTGCTGAACCCAGGTGACTTCTTGGCAGTGGACTTTGTTTGATCTATTAAGTGCCTCAGAAGTGCCACTTTGACTGGCACCCTCACCCATACCAAACCCCATGCTGTGTGGGTCTTGTGACCTCTAAGTCTTGATAAAATGAAAGTCAGTAAAGGGCCCTGGCTCATGTGGCTCAGTGGATTGAATGCTGGTCTGGAAACCAGAGTCACTGGTTTGATTCCCAGTCAGGGCACATGCTTGGGTTGCGGGCCAGGTCCTCAGTTGGGTGGTGTGAGAGGCAACCACACATTGATGTTTCTCTCCCTCTCTTTCTCCCTCCCTTCTCCTCTCTCTAAAAATAAATTTTAAAAATCTTAATTTTTAAAAAGTCAGTAAAGGGAAATTGTCCTCGGAGATTTTCCAGACTGAGACACTTCAGAAAGGTATCACAGGGTAAGATACACTTTTGAAAAAAATGTGGACTAAGGAAGTCTAATGGGAATAGACTAAGGGCTTGTGGGAGGAGGTACAGAGTGGGGAATTCTGGAGGTATGCACATGGAGAGCAAGGCTTGAGATGAGTGAAGTGAAAAGATGCATAAAGTCCAAGAAATCTATTTCAGCTAGACCTTCATGTGAATAACAGATTAAAATGTATATAAAATAACATTCCAAGCAGCCTAAGTACATATGCTACCTTCCAGTAATATCCTCCCTGATTTTAAAAGTAAAAATTATATATGGAAAAGAATAACTTAGAAAAGAGAAAGCAGCTATAACTCTACCACCTAGTAATAACCACTATTAATATGTTGGTATGTTTTCTTCTGGTCTTTTTTAAAAAGATTTTATTTATTCTTAGAGAGAAGAGAAGGAGAAAGGGAGAGAAACATTGATGTGAGAGAAACATCTATCAGTTGTCTCTTGTATGCACCCTGTTCATAGGCCAAATCTGCAACCCAGGCATGTGCCCTGACCAAGAATCCAACTGGTGACCTTTTGATTTCTGGGGTGATGCCCAACCAACAGAGCCACACCAGTCAGAGCCTGGCCTCTTATACATATGTACACAATGTAATTTTTTAAAAGAATTTATTTATTTATTTTTTAGAGAAAGGGGGAGGGAGAGAGAAAGAGAGGGAGAAAAACATCAGTTGGTTGACTCTTGAACATACCCTGACCAGGGACCAATCCTGCAAACCCAGGCATGTACCCTGACCCAGAATCAAACCAGCAACACCCAACCAACTGAGCCACACTGGTCAGGGCACACAATATAATTTTTAAATGGATAATAATGCATGCACTTTTTTCTAATCTGCTCTTTCCACTGAATATTTTTTCTTCCCAGTCAATATTGATTCTCGTCATCATTTAAAATGGCTGCATAATGTTAGATCATGTGGATGTACTATTTTTTATTTAACGATCACTAGATATTTAAATAATGCTTATTTTTAACCATTGCAATCATGCTTCTTTGAACCTCTTAGCACACATATATACCCTTGTACATCTGTCCAATTATTTCATTCGGATAAATTCCCAAAGTGGAGGTAGTAGGCCAAAGTGTATTATACATACTGACAAATTTCCCTGTGGAAGGATTGTCCCAGTTTGTTCTCTACCACCTGTGTCTCTGATGCTTGATCATCCTGGGTTAACAGCTTTGGCACTTTATGTCTTAAGACCGTGGCTGCATATCTCTTCTTTAACATCAACATTTTACAGATTTTATTCTTTGATTCAGTAATTACACTTCTGTGTAAATGTTTAAAGAAAATATCTAAATTATACATACATAAAAGGTACAGATAGACAGGGAGATAGATTGATTAACTGATTGACTGATTGATGTGGGGGGTGCAGGGGCTGTGACTGAGCAAGCCAAATATTTTGGACAATCATTGTCCCTGTGGACTGGAAAGAGCACCATTCCTTGTGTCTGGGCTTTATCCATCTTTGATAATTGAAGGAGAAGGGACAGGCAATTACTCCTAGTTCCTTGGACAGTGCCAGGTTGTACATAGGGTGAATCTCCTGCTTATACCATGCTTTCTCGCCTCTAGAACCTCCCCTCCCCTTCCTTAATGATATCAGAGGCCTTGGCTCATATATAGTTGTCAGCCCTACCCTGTCTGTCAAAGGTCACTGCTGACATGTACCCAAGTATTGTTGCAGCATTAGTTATGACGCAGAATAATGGAATGATAAGCAGTGTGTTCTTTCCCCTCCCTTTGGGTTGTGAGACTAGAGGCCACCTAGAGAAGTTGTTTGTATAGAACCACAAAAGAAAGTCAACAGAATCTCAGTTTTTAAACTCATAAACTATATATTCAAGTATAAGAGTGAATGATGTATGAAGAGACCTGTTAAAACATGTCAAGCAGCCCTGGCTGGTGTGGCTCAGTGGATTAAGCCATGACCTGTAACCCAAAAGGCCATGGGTTCAATTCCCAGTCAGGGTGCAGGCCTAGGTTGCAGGACAATATTTCTCTCCCCCTCCTTCTCCCTCACTTCCCCTATCTCTAAAAATAAATAAGTAAAATCTTTAAAAAAGAATTTTAAAAAATATGTCAAACAATGGTCAAAAACTATTTTCCCCACCTCTACTCTAAAAAAGATAAAACCTATTAGAGAGAGAAGAGAGGTGGAGAATGTGAAGAGAAAACAATACAGCAGGGACTGTGCACCTGGCTCCATATGAAGTTCAATAAACCTCCCAGTTCAATTAACTGGGGGGTTGAAAATACCTTGATTCCCAGGCAAGGCCCAGGCAGGTAGCAAGCCTCATAGGCAAATCTCCCACCTTTATGGTGCAGATTCTATGTAGTAGAAATGACAGCTTGGTATATCTAGGTTTGAGGTAAGTAACAGAAGATTCTCCCAGCCTCTGGGGGGTCAGAGGCAGGGGAATCTTCTGGCTGAGTTAGGAGGATGCCACATGGACAGATAAGAACGAGGCTACATGTCAGCAGATTGCCAGCACAGAAGAGGGACCCTTCCCAACTTCCACTCACATGCCACCACTGCCACCCTTCTGGGGGCCAGACAGGGACTACTCACCTGATACACTGGAACAGGAGGCTACCCTAAGGCAATGAAGAGAAAGCTCAAGAGGTAGTTGTCCCCTCTCCATTGACTCCGTCAGCAGCAGAGAGGTAGGTGAAGAGCTGGGAAGAACAGAAAGATTCTGATTATAATTGAGTTCACCTAGAAGGACTTGATTATGTTTTTTACTTCTAGAAATCTGAGGCTTAAGAAAGATATTTATTCAGTTATAGAAAAATAAAGAAAGTTATTTTATCCACACATCAATTCATGCAACTGTGAAGTTTGAGCCCTCTTTTTTTAAAGATTTAATTTATTTACTTTTAGAGAGAGGGGAAGTTAGAGAGAAAGAGAGGGAGAAGGAATCAATGTGTGAGAGAAATATTGATTGGCTGCTTCTTGCATGTCCCAACCAGGGACCTGGCCCACAACCCAGGCATGTGCCCCAACCAGGAACTGAACCTGTGACCTTTCGGTTTGCAGGATGATGTCCAATCCACTAAGCCACACCTGTCAGAGTTGAACCTTCTTTTACAATAGAGAAAACACTGGGAAAACTGAGGAATCCAATAAGAGGGGAACAGTTGTAGTGTTATACAATCATTTACTGTTTACAAATACTATACAATAATATAAAATGTATGTCCTTTTTGATTACAACAATGTTTAAAAGAAAAATTTAAAAATTATAGTTGAAATAAAATTTGGGAAATAAACAAACAAAAACTTCAACTGGTTGTCTTTGGAGGGAAAGCTGTGGGTAATTTTTTCTTCTTATTTTTTCTTAATTTGTCTTCATGAGCACACTTTTCGTTACAATTAAATTTATGTATTTAAATATTTATGTGTGTGTATTACTTTAAGCATGGCTTGATTCATGGCCTAGAGCTTTGAAGAGGTTGGAGAAAAGAGGGAGAAAGGTAAAAGGGATTTTTCCAGGCCCTGTTGAACTCTGTTCAGTTCAGTGACTGAACTGGTCATCAGTTCAGTCACTCTCTTTCTTCCTGCCTGGTAAGTAAATGTTGGGTGATCTCATGGATAGAATGAGCCACAAAATGATAGGCCATGATGAATGGGATCCTCTGTTCATGAGAAATACAGGAAAACTCGTATAGTTTCAATTTTATGTCAGTGGTTCTCAAAGTGTGACTCTCAGGTCAGCGGTCTCAGCACTGCTTATTAGAAGAGCAACTTCTCTGGCCCATTCCCAGACTTACTAAGTCACAGCTTATGGAGTGGGACCAGCTAGGGATATTCTAACAAGCCCTGCAGGGGATTCTAATGCCTGATAAAGTTTGAGAACCATTTTCTTTTTCTAAGTTTTATTTTAATTTATTTTAAGATTAAGCTTTTAAAAATAAATATTTTATTTTTAATAGTTTTAGATTTATAGAAAAATTCCAGGACTTCCAGCCAAGATGAAAGCATATGTAGATACTTTGCTTCCTCACACAACCAAAAGGATAACAACAAATTTAAAAACAAAAAATAACCAGAGTTCCCAGAAAATTGAACTGTATGGAAGTCCGACAACCAAGGAGTTAAAGAAGAAATATTCATCTAGATTAGTAGGTGGGACAGAGGTGGGCAGCTGGGGTAGAGAGGACTCTCGGCAAAACGACAGCTGGAGGATCGGGTGAGTGAGGCTGCAGCTGGCACAGTGGACAGTCCCACATTATGTGTGCAGAAAAAACAGGAGGAACAATTGGGGAGTGAGACAGACTGCTCAACCCAGGGTTCTAGGGCTGGGAAATAAAGCCTCAAAAATCTCTGACTGAAAAAAACCCATTGGGGTAAGGCATCAGGAGAGACTCCAAGCCTCACAAGAGAATTCACTGGAGCGACCCAGAGGGTCCTGGAATGTACAGAAGACCACTCCCCTTCTGGAATCAGCACCTGAAGGACCTAATTTGCTAGTGGGTAGCAGCAATTATCTAAGGCCCTGCCCCTTACTACATAATAGGTGCTCAAAGATAAAAAATATATAGCCCAAATGAAAGAACAATTCAAAGCTCCAGAAAAAATACAACTAAGTGATGAAGAGATAGCCAACCTATCAGATGAAGAGTTCCAAACACTGGTAGTCAGGATGCTCACAGAAATGGTTGAGTATGGTCACAAAACAGAGGAAAAAGTAAAGGCCATGTAAAGTGAAATACAGAAAACCAACAGTGAAGGGAAGGAAACTGGGACTCAAATCAACAGTTTGGAGCAGAAGGAAGATATAAACATTAAACTGAAACAGAATGAAGAAACAAGAATTCAAAAAAATGAGGAGAGGCTTAGGAACCTGTGGGACAACTTTAAATGTTCCAACATCCAAGTCATAGGGGTGCTAGAAGGAGAACAGGGAGAGCCAGGAATTGAAAACGTTTTTGAAAAGATAATGAAGGAGAACTTCCCCAATCTCATGAAGGAAATAGACTTCCGGGAAGTCCAGGAAGCTCAGAGAGTCCCAAAGAAGTTGGACCCAAAGAAGCACATGTAGATACTTTGCTTCCTCACACAACCAAAAGGATAACAACAAATTTAAGGCACATCATAATTGCATTAGCCAAGCTTAAAGAGGAGAGAATCTTAAAAGCAGCAAGAGAAAAAGAGAGAGTTACCTACAAAGGAGTTCCCATAAGACTATCAGCTGATTTCTCAAAAGAGACCTTACAGGGACAAAGGGGCTGGAAAGAAGTATTTGGAGTCATGAAAGGCAAGGACCTACATCCAAGATTACTTTATTCAGCAAAGCTATCATTTAGAATGTAAGAGCAGATAAACTGCTCCCCAGATAAAGTCAAGTTAAAGGAGTTCAACCCCGAACTCTTATTATATGAAATGTTAAAGGGACTTATCTAAGAAAAAGATGATCAAAACTATGAACAATAAAATGACAACAAACTCACAACTATCAACAACTGAACCTAAAAGAACATAAACAAAAACAAAAATGAACTAAGCAAACAACTAGAGCAGGAACAGATTCACAGAAATAGAGATCACATAGACGCTTATCAGCAGAGAGGGGGAGGGAAAGAATGGGGGAAAAGGTACAGGGAATAAGAAGCATAAATGGTAGGTACAAAACAGACAGGGGGCCCTGGCTGGTGTAGCTCAGTGGATTGAGCTCAGTGGATTTGATTTGTGGGCTGCAAATCAGGGTTGCTGGTTCGATTCCCAGTCAGAGCACATGCCTGGGTTGTGGGCCAGGTCCCCAGTGGGGGGCCATGTGAAAGGCAACCACACATTGATGTTTCTCTCCCTCTTTCTCCCTCCCTACCCCCCTCTCTAAAAATAAATAAATAAAATCTTTTAAAAAATAGACAGGGAGCCCTGGCTAGTGTAGCTCAGTGGACTGAGTGCGGGCCTGCAAACCAAAAGATTGTGGTTCGATTCCCAGTCAGAGCACATGCCTGGGTTGCAGGCCAGTTCCCAGTAGGGATGCACAAGAGGCAACCATACATTGATATTTCTCTCCCTCTCTCCTTCCCTTCCCCTCTAAAGATAAATGAATAAAATCTTTTAAAAAAATAGACAGGGAGAGGTTAAGAATAGTATGGGAAATGGAGAAGCCAAAGAACTTATATGTACAACCCATGGATATGAACTAAGGTGGGGGAATGATGGTGGGAAAGTAGGTACAGGGTGGAGTAGAATAGAGCAGAGGAAAAAATGGGACAACTGTAATAACATAATCAAGAAAATATATTGGAAAAGAAAGAAAAGAAAGATTTCAAAGGTATTACAGAGAGGACATTATACCCCTACACCCAGCTTTTCCTACTGTTCCCATCTTACATTAATATGATAAATTTGGACAACCATTCTAATGAATAACCACTGATGAGTTCACTTTAGATTAGTCACTGGGGTAGGTATCAGTCCTGAGGCTGGACGGAGCTAGGAAAGGTGCTTACGATCAGCATCATGTTTGTTCATGTTTAACTAAGGCTTTAAGATGGTTTAATTCATTTTATCCTCAGTAGATGCCTTTGAAATAGGCCAAGGAATTATCTCCACCTAACAGATGAAAAAAACTGAAGATCAGAAAAATTAAATGATTTGCCCAAGATCACACAACTAATAACTTTTCCAATAGGCCAACTCTCATTGATAATATATCAATAATACATCAACAGCACATATATGTTATCTTATTTAAACCTCACACATATTTTGTAAGGTAAGTACCATTGTTATATCTTCATTTTATAGACAAGAAAGCTGAGGCACAGAGAGACTAAGTAACGTACTTTTGAACATACAGCTTTTTAAAAAAGAGGTTCAAATAGTGGGGTTTTTTACAGTTTACATTAAATATTATTTTGCATTAGTTTCAGGTAGACACACAGCTTTAAATAAAGGAACTGCAGTGGAAACTTGGGAAGTCTGATTCTAGGGCAGGTGTTCATAACTATTGAGCTATATAGTATATAATGCCTTTGAAATGTTTCAGCTTGGTGAGACTAAATTACATTTCCTAGAGTTCCCTTTTCTGTATGTTTCCAGTAAGCATGATCCATAAGTTTCTTGTGGGAGCTTTAGAGGGTGGCAATAGAGCAGCAGCTAATGTAGCTGACATATGGAGTGGATTATCTGCTGCCTCACCTCATTGACGTGAGGCAGCAGCTGTGCGTGTAACTGCTTCATCTTCCCTTGAACCTTCCTTCAGCCTGACTTCGGGGCCAGGTATGGGTGTCTGGCTGTGCAAAGAACCCTGGCCTCTGCAGGACACCCACACCATCAACTCCAGAGGCCATAAGAACTGACACTGACTTCAGTCAATCCTCATGGGCTCAAGCTCAAGCCTGTGAGTTCCAGCTTATTTTTGTTCTCCTCCACTTCATCTCCGTTTTCTATTCCCAACTGCCTGCTCTGTAGACTTCAAGGTTCTGTGTCAGACATGAAGACAGCAGCCTATTCATGAGTCTAACACTTCAAAAGGCCAAAACTTAACATGTCAGAGTTTGCAGTAAGAAAAAGTTTGTTGATCAAGAAGGCACCTACTGAGAAGATGGGAAACCTAATAGTGCCTCAAATCCATCTTGCTCACCGGGGAAGGTTGAGGAATTTTAAGGGGCTCGGAGAAACAATTATGCAGAAGTGCTGGTGGGTCAAGTTTTAATTGGAG